GTTAAAATCTATAAAACAAATTGGATATACAATGAAATACTATTTGGCAATGAAGAGGGGATGGACTGTTACTGATACATGCGACAACAAGACAAATCTCAAAGTAATTATCCTGAGTGAAATTGTTCTATTCCAAGCTAGAGAAGAGAGCGTAAGCTGTCTGGTTCCGTGTATGTCAACTTTTAGAAAATGCAAACTCATCCAAAGAGACAGAAAGCAGGTTGGTGGTTGCCTGGGGATGGGCCGGGGTGGGGGAGTGGGGGGTGATGGGTATGTTCTCTGTCTTGATTGTGGTGATGGTTTCACAGGCGCAGACCTGCATCTTGTGTTCTTGGCGCTTCCCTGTGGCCAAAAGTGACAACTGCAGCAATTGAGGAATTCTATGGTAAATCAGGGACCCTTCTCCTGTAGTCTGTGGAGCTGGTGAGGCCACCCCATCACTCAGGGACCAGGTTTTCCTTTTTGATGGTGTTAGGGGTTGAACCCAGGCAAGCGCCCCACCACCGACCTACATCCCCAGACCAGGGGCCAATTTTCTTTTTACAACATCTTCTTCCATCATTTTTGCTGGAACCTTTGGCCAGTCTATGGCAAATAGACCCTAACTGGGTCCAAAGGAGATGGAGAAGGCAAACCCACTGGGAGTGACACCCCCGCCCCCCATGCTTCAAAGCCTACATTCTTCTAGAGCTTCTGACAGCAGCATTTTCACAGATGGATGGCAGATCAACTGACCAACAGGTAACTTGATTCCCTCCTCTTTTGGCTTTTCACAAACTGCCTTGAAAACAATCTTTTGTGTGTTTGCCCCACCTTTTTAAATTGTACCCCAATACATTTCCTTTTTGACATGGCTGTTAGGTAGCTCATGGTCAAGGCTGGGATCCAATTGCATGACGAAGTCATCTAGATGCCTATCTACTTGGTAATTTCCTGCTTCTTTTAGCTGTTTTTTTTTTTTTTTTTTTTTTGCTTTTTTTTCTTTATAGCTGTGTTTTAAAAATAAAATTTAAAAATATATCTGTTTTATGGCATGTTCCATTTTATGAAGTTTTGTTAGATTTTTTTTTTTTTAATTTTCACAAACAGGTAAGGTTTAAGTAGTTACAAAAAGAAAAAAAGTCAGCCTGGCGTAGTGGTATACGCCCGTAATCCCAGCAGTTTGGGAGGCTGAGGCAGGAGGAGCGCAAGTTCAAAGCCAACCTCAGCAACTTAGCAAGGCCCTGAACAACTCAATGAAACCCTGTTTCTAAATATAATACAAAAAAAGACCAGGGATGTGTCTCAGTAGTTAAGTGCCCCTAGGTTCAATCCCTGGTATCAGGGGAGAAAAAGAAAGAAAGTCGGTGCATGGTTCCCTCTGCAAGGTCAGAGAGCATATCCTGCACATTGTCCCTATGTCCCACTGTGTATCTGGGAGAGAACATTGCATGGGATAAATGCTCATTTAAAAGGACCACAATTGTAGCTCAGGGGTAGAGCACTTGCCTGGCATGTGTGAGGCCCTGAGTTAGATCCTCAGCACCACATAAAAATAAATGCATAAAAAAATATGTTCAGTCTGGGCCAGTAGCTCAGTGGTATAATTACCTGGCATTTGCAAGGCCCTGAGTTCAATCCCAAGAACTACAGAAAAATATTTTGGCTATATTAGATAATTCTTGATGATTATATAGGTGCTATCCCAAGGGAAAGTTCTGTATGGAAACTGGATGCTATTTTTGACAACTTTTCTACTTCCTGTTTCTGGTGGCACCTGTCTGGCAATGTCTGGGTAGGTAGAAGATTCCTGCCTTCATATCTGTTTGGTCCCTCGACCCTGGTGAATGCCTAAGAGGTCTATGCTCCATGACTTGCAGGGAATTTTTGTTGCTCCAAGGGGAAATGTGAGTTTAGGTCTGAGGTGACATGCTTCTGGTGGTGGTATTGTCCTTACTGGCCTCTTTCCTAGCTCAGCTCCCCACTGCTCAAAGCTCTGACTGGTGGCTTAGGAACTTACCTCACTTTCTCCAGACAAGCTCATCTTTAACTTGTGACTCAGTGAGAACCGCCATTCAAAGCTGGGAGTGGTTCCCTGGGGACATCTGGCTACAGCTGAAATTGCCCATCTCTCACTGTTCCTAACAAGGCCCACAGGTTATAAATTTCAAACTGTCCCAGTAGGATGTGCTCAGCATGGCTAATGAAGGATTTCAGCCTTTGGCCAAAAATGGCAGAGTTACTTGAAATCAAAGTGTCTCATTTAAGAGTAATGATTCTTTTAACAAGGAGCCTGGAGAATAAAACTAGATGGCCTAAGATAAAACAAGAATCCTTGATCTATTTGCAGTGGAGACACTTTCCCAGTTTTCAATGTTATGACCTCTTTTTTGTTTTTCCCTTGCTGTGATCCAAGGATGCAGGAATTTTGATTATTTAAAAAAAAAAAAAAGCGATTAGATCATGCTCTTGCTCATCCTTAAGATTTATTGGATTGCATCCCCAAAATGATGAAATTTAAAGTTTTGGTTGGCATTGAGGGACCTGTAGGATCTGGCTTCAACCCTCCTTTTCAATTACATGCTCCTGGCCCCCACCAATATTATGGGTCAGGCTATATGGGCAATGAGCAAACAGACTCCGTTTGGCCCCAAGACTCCATGACATGTAAGAAATGCTTCTCCCCTGGGAAAGCTTCTCCTGCCTCTGCACCCATCAACAGTTGCTTAGCATAGCATGTTTCGCAATTCAAAATGACAATTCTTATACAATGTAAAATCATTCTCTTTTTGGTGCCCATTTTATTGGGCAATGTACCCTATCAGAGAATATTGTCTAGATATTAGAACCATTCTTTAACTTGTACTCAACTAGGGTCGTTTTGACCCACTTTCCCTTCTGCTTCTGATTTTAGATCGCATGATGTTTGTTTATGGTCTTGAATCATAGCAACAGCCACTTATGATTAATGTGCTGACATGCTTTACTTATGCTATAAAAAATGTACTCAAACCCCTGGAGGGGGTTGAAGGGTGTAGACTTGTGGCCTCCCCCTTGGCCCGCCAGCTGGTGGATCCAGATGGCCAGCTGGTGAATAAAGTTTCTATCTCCTGTTTTATGATTTATTACAATCTTGCCATAACACCTACCCTGGCCACCTTGGCAGCTTTGCACTTTTGCTACTCTTTTCCTCTGCCTGAAAGTCTTTCCTATACCCTCCCTGGCCTGCCACACCACCTTCATTATGTTTATAGAATTCAAATCCCTTCCCTGTTGAGAATAGATAACAACACCCCTACTGCATACACCACTGGTGGCACTTTGCTCGCCTTAATTCCACTGGGCCTGGGTCAAAATGTATCTGCCTCTGATCCTATCTGCCTCTCCACCAGGCCCTAAACAGCTAGAGAAGGACCTGGATGAATAAGGCCCAGAGCCTTGCCTGCAGGAGGTCCTCTGAAATGATTGGTTGTGGAGTGACTGACTTGTGTTAAGTTTTATTAATTCAAAATAGACCATATATTTGTACTCTAAAGGTACAGAAACACAAAGGCTGGGGTTGTGGCTCAGTGGTAGCGTGCTTGCCTAGCATGCATGAGGCACTAGGTTTGATTCTCAGCACCACATAACATACAAATAAAATAAAGATCCATCAATAAAGAATATTTTTAAAAGATACAAAAACAATACCTCTGTTCTCTAACCACCCAGTTTCCTCCTATGAACAGAATACCAGTTTCTTGTGAATCCTTCCTTAGACATGCAAATATCAATGTTCTTTTTCAAACATTTATTTAACCACTTTACTGATGACATTTAGATTGTTTTCATTCTTTTGTTATTAAAAACAATGTTGAGATGTAATCTTGATTTGGACCAACAGGTACATCCCCATATCTTCCATAATTTAAAGCATAAGCTTTTAGGAAATAGCTCAATGAATACGTTATTTACAGATTGATGTTTTGGATAAGATTTTGGGCATCTCTGATTGTTTTAGAAAGGAGATGCCTTAGAGATCAGAAAATCTCAAGTCTCTGAATGCGGGGCTGGGCACAGGGGTGAGGGTGGGGGTGGTGCACGCCTGTAATCTCAGAGATTTGGGAGGTTTAGGCAGGAGAACCAGGAGTTCAAAGCCAGCCTCAGCAACTTAGCGAGCCTGTCTCAAAATATACAAAAGGGCTGGGGATGTAGCTCAGTGGTTGAGCGCCCCTGGGTTCAATCCCCAACACCAATAATAATTATAATAAATCCCTTAATAACCACCTGGATTTGAAGCCCATTTGTCAGCCACATGACTGAGGAAGTCGTTTCACCTGAGTCTCATCTGTAATCTGCACTGCAGCCGTGTTGTGGGGATTAAATTTTGTCGCAGTTCCAGACACATAATAGGCACCCAATAAACGGAGCTGTAATTATTTATTGTTTAATAATTTAATCACTATTTAATTTAACATGCTCTTATGCGGTGAGAGCGGATCACGGGGCTATTTGATCTGCCGTCTTGGAGCGGAGGAAAGGAGAATTCCTCGTTAGCTCGCGTTAGCAGTACGGCTTTGGGCACTTCCGCTAACAGCTCTGGCCTGTTTTCCCGTCTAAGGACAGAATGCAATCCAGCTCGCAAGGTGTTTGTCCCAAAGCTTAAACGCAAACACTCCCAAGTGCTTAACGCACGATTCTCTTCCTTCTTCCCAATCTAATGGCGGAAACATCGAACAACCCATCAACCCACCCAGTCACCCCTGAAAACCAGAGCAATCGAGGCCTCTGGCGGGCGCGCCAGTCGTGGCCGTGCTCTGCGCGTCGCAGGGAAACGGCCTCTGAGCGGCAAAAGTCTCTTGACCTCGCAAAGCCTCTCCAGGCGCCGGGGTGCGGAGGTCGGTTTCCCACGATGCCTCCGCAGCTCAGCGGTCGCCCTGGCAAACCCGCCTTCCGGCCCCCTTTGCCCCGCCTCCACTTCCGGCTCTGATGTACGTCATCGCCGTGCGACCGACTGGAGTTTCCGGAAAAGGCCGTCCGGAAAGTACCGTGTGGGGGTGCGGTCCCGAGTGCGGGAGGTGGGGCGCGGGGTTCACGGTCTGTTCTCGGTGTCGCCGGCTGCGCCCCGACTCAGCGCCGCCATGGAGAGCGGAGGGCGGCCCTCGCTGGGCCAGTTCATCCTCCTGGGCACGAGCTCCGTCGTCACCGCCGTCCTGTACTCTGTGTACCGGCAGAAGGCCCGGGTCGCCCAAGAGCTCAAGGTCAGTGCTCGGGCCGGCCTGGCCTCAGCCGGGCGTGTCTGCTCGCGGCCGTGGGGACCCACAACTCACCTTGGCCACCCCACAGTGGGAAGCTTGCAGAAGAGGAAGCCGGCGCCGGGACGGTGTTCCCCAGCCCAGCCGGCGGAGCAGGGGTGCGAAGTCGGGTCTGAGACAACGGCCGCTCCGCCCCTTAGCCTTAAGCCCCTCTCGTTACTCAGGACGACTCTTCTTTAACTGTATTCTGAAACTGTTTCTCGAACCGTGCGCCAGGCAGTGAGTAGCAAAGACTAGTCTCTGTCCTCGTGAAGATTCCATGCTGGTACAGCGGGACAGACGGTAAACAGGTGGTGTAGCCCGGGAGACGTGTTGTGGACTAAGGCAGGAAAGGGGGCTTGCTATTTTAGACAAGGTGACATTTGAGCAGAATACAAGGAGGAGATAGGGACAGCAGTTCAGACCCGGGAACTGCAAGTACCGAGACCCATTTATTTAACAAACTCCTTGCTTCAACAAATTTTCCCTTTTTATATTATACTTATTTTTTTCAACTCATTTTTTGAACAGCATTTTACAGTTTACACAGCATTGTTTTCATTTTTTCTGCATAGTAGTTTTCTGAGGTAGATGAAATGACAACCCCCCCCCCTCCCCGCCATTGTAAATTGGGAAATTGAGATTCAGAGGATAGGTCACATAGCTATTTACCTTGGAACTTAGGTCTTTTGAGTCCTAGGGTAGGATTATTTTTTTCCCCCGATTGACCACATTATTTTAATGGAACTGTCAGGGTGGTCCACAGAGGTGTACCTCTAGGTCAGAGACAGGGTTTTTCCTTCTAGGTTCTGTTTGAGAATGGTAGTTGCTCAATAAATGTTAGTGGATTTGTTTTGTTTGAAATTTCACGATTCAACTACTAAAGATTTAATTTGTATGAAGGGCAGATTTCCAAATATAAGTTCTTTATCACCAGATTGTTTTCATTAAGAGCTTAGAAACAAATGTGGGAAATCCCTGCAGGTAAAAAGTTTAGGAATCTAGAATGAACCAGTTTGTGAGGTAATTGGATTTGCTGTGCAAATGACATCCTGGTGAGGTTCCAGCTGCCCTGTTGTTCATCTAATTAAATAAACAAGTTACTGCTAAGTCTGTTGGCTCTAAGTGTAGCTGATACTTCACTTTCTGATTTCAAAACCAATTTGGCTTCAAGTTGGCTGGGGGTGAGGATCTTGAATGAACTCTCCAGGTGATCTTAAAAGCTTTGCTAATTAGTTTCTTTATAAGGATGAAATAGCCCCTCCTGGAAAAAGAATTGAGACTCCTGATATGTTAGATTCTCTTTTCTGGGTTGGATTAAGAAACTTCCAGAGTAGGGTTTGTTGTACCCTTTGTGTTTCTCATAGTGATAGGAGTGCATAATTATTGTATACGCCCATCTGCCCACCCCTGGGCTGGATTCTTCCACTCCTTGAAATTCACCTAATCCACATAAAAAAATGCTATGAGATTATGTTTCCCTCATCTTTAACAGTTTTGGAAACTGAGATTCAGATCAGTTGAGTTCCCCAGAGTTACTGGGGATGAGGTTGATCAACACAATGTCTTTCTGAACTTATTCACCACCCTTCTGTCCTTTAAAAATTCTTTTTTTCTCTCTCTTTCTTCTTTTTTTTTGTACCAGGGATTGAACCCAGAGTCACTTGGCCACTGAGCCACATCCCCAGCCCTTTTTTATGTTTTATTTTGAGACAGGGTCTCTTTGAGTTGCTTACAATCTCACTAAGTTGCTGAGGCTGGCTTTGAACTCTCAATCCTCCTGCCTTAGCCTTCCAAGATGCTGGGATTACAGGTGTGCACCATCACCATGCTGGGCTCTGCCCTTTAAAATTCTAATTGTCCATTGTGATGGATTTTTTTTTCTTTCTCTCTCTCTCTCTCTCTCTCTCTCTCTCTCTCTCTCTCTCTCTCTTTAACTAACTGTAAAGTAGACAGGTCACTACAACTTCCTTTTTCCAAAAGTTTGATAATTATCTTGGCTGGGCTGGGGGTGTGGCTCAGTGTAGAGTACTTGCCTAGCACCTTGGTTTCCTTTCTGAAATTGCAGGTAATAATGCCTACTGTATGGGGACAACACCAGCATTAATAGGTTTATGCATTTGAAGTGCTTAGCATAGTGCCTAGTACAATGGTGTATCTAAATACTTTAATCATTGATTTATTTGTCAAATATATATCAGGTACTTGCTGTGTGTCAGGCGCTATTCTCAGCAGCAGGAGAGACTCCATTCTAGTACAGCTTGACCAACAAAAGCGCATGATCAGATGATATGACACAGTGACAAAGAAATGTTTTAGAGTAAGGCAGGAGAAGGGAGCACCAGGGATGGGAGAACTGGGGGTTGTTGGCGGAAGACAGCAACAGAAGTAACAGCAGGCTTGTTTGTGAGAGGGAAGAAAGACAAATTAAAAAGTAGCAGACCACTGTTGGGCACCAGTTAACAGAGACTTGCCTGAAGAAAGCAAAGGCACTTCTTTATTATAACAGAGTGCAGGGCATCCATTCACAGAGGCACGGTGGTAATTAACACCTACCATTTTTTGAGCCTCTACTATGTGCTTTATACAACAGCACTGTGTTGTCAAGAAGAGATTAAATGTGTTCAAATTAAAAGGGGCATTGGTTTTGGTTAAATAGAAAAAAGAATGTATGTGGCACCCTCAGTCTGCAGTGACTAAAGAGCAGAAGCCCTGCTCCTAGCCTGTTTTACATGTTGAAACTCTGGGACAGCTTTTGGAGTCGAATTATCTGTAGTATTCTTTCTGCTCAGCTTTTTTTACTCTCAACATGAAAAAAACAAAAGATCTTTTTTTGCCCTTAAGTTTGGTTGACTATGTTAGTATTCAATGGCCAATTTAATTTTTGTGTGTGTGTATGTGTGTTTAGGGAGCTAAGAAAATCCACTTGGGTGAAGATTTAAAGAGTATTCTTTCAGAAGCTCCAGGAAAATGTGTGCCTTATGCTGTTATTGAAGGTATGTTTGTTTAATGGTAAATGGAAAACAACTTCCTTCTTCCAAAAGTTTGATAATTATCTTGGCTGGGCTGGGGGTGTGGCTCAGTGTAGAGTACTTGCCTAGCACCCACAAGGCCCTGGATTCAATCCCTACTACTGCAAAAACAAAAAGATTGTCTTGGCTGACATTAAGTGCCTTTTATGGTGTTGGGGTTCATTGTCTGAATGTACTTTGGGGTTAGAAAGATCTGAGTGATTGCCCTGTGACCTTGAGAAAAATTTTCAAACCTTTTTTGATCTCTTATTATAGTAGAGATTATTTATCTGTAAACTAATTCCTACTTTGTAGAGTTGTTGTGAGACTTAAATGATGTGACCCAGATAAGGTGCTCAGCATAGTGCTCCTAAGATGTACCTTAGGGTGGTACAATACAAATGTATTCACTTTGGTTAATTAAGAGACCGAAACCACATTCTGAATCACCTGAAAGAGAGGGCAGAACAGTTCTTCAGAAATGAAATGATTTGTTTCTGTTTAGGAGCTGTGCGATCTGTTAAAGAAACGCTGAACAGTCAGTTTGTTGAGAACTGCAAGGGGGTAATCCAGCGACTGACACTTCAGGAGCACAAGATGGTGTGGAATCGAACAACCCACCTTTGGTATGTGTCCTTTCTACACCAATCGAAAACCGTAGCTGGTCTGTCCATAGGCTGGGGTTCTGGTACCCCCATCTTTAACAGTTTTGATCTGAGATTGCTGTCTTCAGCATCTCCTGAGTAGGTTGAAAACCAGCCTGTGATGCTGGCGATACCACTGTGTGTTCCATGGACCTCTGTCAGAGCCCATAGGCAGCTTATTACAATGCAGATTCTTGGGCCCACATCCTGGCCTACCAAACCAGAATTTTCAGGTTAGAAGGGACCTGGAATCTGTTGATTCTTAAGCACTCTAAAGTTTGAGGACCACTGATTTATAGATTAATGACTTCAGTGTTAAAATAATTTTGTGCCCTAACATGGAGTACCAATTCTCCATCTGATTCTAGCAACTTTTGTCTCAGATGTCTATCTGACAGTGGCAAAGGGACCTCTGCTGGTACTTTCTGCCCACTGACCCCACCTGAGGACCTAGGCACTGCAGCCTCACATCATGAGGTCAGAGAGTAGTGATTGCTGTTGCAGTCCTAGTTAGAGTGAATTCTGTCCTGCTGCCACTTAGGTGATCTCCCACTGCCTAGATATCTGGCTCTTGGTTTCATCTTTAGTCCTCTTATTCTTTTAGGAATGACTGTTCAAAGATCATTCACCAGAGGACCAACACTGTGCCCTTTGATCTGGTGCCTCATGAGGATGGCGTGGCCGTGGCTGTACGAGTGCTGAAGCCCCTGGACTCTGTGGACCTGGGCCTGGAGACTGTGTACGAGAAGTTCCACCCCTCCGTCCAGTCCTTCACCGATGTCATTGGCCACTACATCAGTGGAGAACGGCCCAAAGGCATCCAAGAGACTGAAGAGATGCTGAAGGTGGGGGCCACCCTGACAGGGGTTGGTGAACTCGTCCTAGACAACAACTCCGTGCGCCTGCAGCCCCCCAAGCAAGGCATGCAGTACTACCTAAGCAGCCAGGACTTTGACAGCCTGCTGCAAAGGCAAGAGTCAAGCGTCAGACTCTGGAAGGTTCTGGCCCTGGTGTTTGGCTTCACCACGTGTGTCACCCTCTTCTTTATTCTCCGGAAACAGTATCTGCAGAGGCAGGAGCGCCTGCGCGTAGAGCAGCTGCAGGAGGAATTCCGGGAACACGAGGCCCAGCTGCTGAGTCAAGCTTCGCCCGAGGACCGAGAGAGTCTGAAGAGTGCCTGTGTCGTGTGTCTGAGCAGCTTCAAGTCCTGCGTCTTCCTGGAGTGTGGGCATGTCTGTTCCTGTCGTGAGTGCTACCGTGCCTTGCCAGAGCCCAAGAGGTGCCCCATCTGTCGGCGGGAGATCACCCGGGTGATTCCCCTGTACAACAGCTAGCGGTTCTGCAGCGCCTGGCTGCACTTGGAAGCCGCCCTCCCCGAGTGGGGATTCATTCTTGAGGCCTTTCGAAGAGCAGCCATAGGGGTAGCTCTGCCTCCGGGTGTGACTCAGTGGAGTCTCTCCAGACCCACACCTCCACCAGCAGAGAGCCTTTCTGACCTCCCCAGAGCATCTAGAGGGGCCCCACCCTTGGTTGGTGCCAAGGCCTGGTATTTTTTCCTAGGAACCTGCTGGGGGTGTGTATGTGTATGATAAAGCATCCTGTCACCTCAGCACCAAAGCCACTGATCTTTTCTGGTGACTCTTGGTTGCTGCAGACCTCGGAGAGGAAAGGCTGAGCCCCGGGCCTTCCAGAGCCATACCTGCAGAGACTGCCCTCGCTTTCTTCCTTTTGCTTCCACTGGGGATAAGGTCTTTCTTCAAATTGTCAGGCTGGGCAGGTCACTTGTGTCTTTCCCCTCACCTGCTTGCCTCCCAAATGTGTGCACACATGTGGACAGGGCAGGAGGGGGTGAGGTCAGCACATCTGCTTCTGCCTACACAGTGGGACACGGATCAGCAGACGCCAAGAGGTGTCTCTCCTTTGCTCTGACAGCCCTGTTGGTATCTTCACTGACCAAGGGCGGGACACAGAGCGCAGACCTCTAGCCCTGATGTGGAGCTGCTGCAGCTGGGCAGGCCTGGGTAGCTCTGGATTGCCTGACAAAGGGTGAGCCCAAAAGGCCTCTGCTGAAGGAAGCAGCGAGGGCATAGCCCTCCTGGCCCCCAGCTCTTGCAGCTTCTTTGTGGCAGCTTCTTTGCTTGCTTTTGTCTAGGAAAAGTAGCCAGCCGGCACCCTGAGCTCTGGGCCTCTGAAGCCCGCCCCTCGACCCCTCGCCTGGGGCCGGGGCACAATCCCAGCACCGTGTTCCCTGTTACCCTCCACTCCTCACGTCCCTGTGCTGAGCCTGTGAGTGCAGGAGAAGTTGGGGAGTGTCCTTCCTGCCTCTGAGTGGCCAAGAATCGTGCACACAGCTCTTATTTCCCTTCTGTGTCCTTGAACATTCATCCCCTGCTCCTCCTCTGTGTGGGGGGAGGGGTGCTCTCAGGGGGCTGACACTAGTGATAAGCAGTATCCCATGTGAACAGCACAAATTAAACATTGCGGCCTTGTGTTTGCCTGTTATTTGTTAATGAGTTAAATGGCTAAGCCGAGGCCTCCCAGGATGGAGCTGATCCCTGCTGGGACAGAATGAAAACTGGGGACTTCAAGGCTTCTTTGGCTGTGAGGTGGTCTAGGTTCCGCCAGCTGAGGTGCAGCTCAGCAGTGGAGAAACCCTGATGCTTGCCACCACGGGAGGAGTCTGGTGAGCCCAAAGGACCCTCCTGGACAGCCAGCCCATGGTCAGGCATGCCTGGCCTGGCTAACAGCCATCTTTGAAGTCTGTCTGGATGTCCTGAACATCAGAGCACTGAGGATTCTCCTGGGAGCATTGGCCGGGGTGGGGCCTCGGGGGACAGAAGGGCAAACAGTGGGCACAGCTATGTGCCTGGTGTTACACCATGCACCACTTCAAACTTCAGTTGCAAAGTGAGTTCCCCGTCAGGCAGCTCTCAGGCTGAGTCCTCGGCTTCCCTGTATAGATGAGAAATTGGCCCCGAGGGGGGAAGTTCATGGGGGTGAGGACATAAGAGCTGTCATGTGATGGATCCCAATCTGAACTATTGTTTGCTGCCCACCAGCAGCAGGCCCAACAGATTCCTCTGTCAACGGGACACTCCATGAGATACTGGCTCCCAGAGTTGGTAGAGCAGGGTGCCCATACTGGAGGAAGACTGGGCATTGGAGGTCCCTGCTTCATCCTGGCTTGTCTGGGACTGAAATGGGCACACTCCCTGCTGTGGCCTTCTGTGGCAGTTTCTATCTTGCTTTAGGAGCCTCATCTCCAGAAGGGTCCAGTGGCCGTAGATCTGTGTGGGACAGGGAATGATGGGAGGAAGGAAGTAGAAAGTTAGTATTAAGTGGGATCTTTGTGAGTGATGTCTTCCTGTCTGCCGTGTGCTCAGTCACTTTGCTCCTGGGCAGCAGTGGTGGGCAGGAATCATCTTAAGTGATTACTGCTGGTGCTCAGAACGTCTGGGAGCTGCTTTATGCATTAATGCTTGCTGTCCTACACAGTGGATGTTGTCACTTCTGTTTCATAAATGAGGACAGGCTTGGTGGAGTTACATCTTGCCTGTGGCCACATAATCACAAACCAGGCAATGTTAGGCTCTTTAAGGGTATTGTTTCTAATACAGCAAACCAGCAAGGGAGGTCAAGGCTACCACTGCCTGAAGACAAAGCCCCCAACTTTTGATTACATTAGGTTGGGACTGCATCAGGTTTTCCATGAGGCAGCTGGGTGGGATCCTCCTCACCCATAGGGGATTATTTCCAGGACCTCTGCAGATGCCATAATCCATAGGTGCTCAAATTCCTCATAAAATGGCCTAAAATTATAACTTGTATAGTTCCTCCCTACACTTTGTTTTTGTGTGTTTTTGAGGTGCTGGGGATGGAACCCAGGCCTCCCATATGCTAGGCAAGTGCTCTACCACTGAGCTACACCTGCCCCTCAACACTTCAAATTGTCTCTAGATCACTACTACGAGGTAAATGCTGTGTTGGTATACTATTGTGTATAATATTGATGAGGGGTAAATGTCTACATGTTGTATAGATGCAGTTCCCCACACCCCAAAATACTTTGGATTTCAGCTGATTACATTTACAAGTGCAAAACCCACAGATTTGGAGAACCAACTGCATTTATTATCATAAGCAGCATTTTACATACTAGTCAGCACCTTGAGCATTCCAGCAGATCCTAGTAGAGAGGGTTGGCAGGCAGTCTTCAGAAGCCTAATTCTTTCAGAATTCTAATGAAAATTCAAGAAGCAAACACCTTGACAAATCAGGCCATCCTTGGATGCCCTTTAGTCTGGTCCCAGGATTTGAAGAGGCCAGTTGGGTGATAGAGCTGAGGCTGGTGAACCTGCAGGGCTTCTGGAATGCCGAGGGTGTCACTCATGGATATTTATTCATCTAACATTTGTATTTTGTGTCTGGGGATGTAAAATGCATAAGGCCCAGTCCTTGACTGCATAGGGCTCAGATTTGTGCTTCAGAGCATCTTAATTACTTGCAAGTCTTCTAGGGATAAGGGCTCAGTTCTTTGGAATGCTTGTGGTTCACAGAATATTATAGCTGGAAATTTTCTCTCAGCTGCTTTTGGTTACTGTAAGAGAAAAATCTGAGACTGAGTCATTTACAATAAACAGATTTCTCTCTTGAGGTTCTGGAGCCTGGGAAGTCCAAGAGCAAACACCAGCATCTGGCAAGGGCTTTCTTGCTGCATCACAACATGGCAGAGGGCGTCACATGGTGAGGAAGCCCAAGAGAGACCAAAAAAAAAAAAAAAATAGAACTCATCCTTTTAATAGGATTCCACTCCCAAGACAACTAACCCACTCTTTCCATAATGGCCTTAATCCACTCTGTGGCCTAACCACCTCTTTATGGTCCAAGGGCAATTAAATTTTAATGAGTTTGGAAGGGGTCAGTCAATCCATAGAGGGTCTTTGAGATTGGCCAGGTTGCAGCAGATCTCTGACCCTTAGAAATAAACCAATGAAGGGCAGTGTGTCATTGCAGGAGAGCCCACGAGAGGAAAAGCATGCCCCTCCAAATCCAGGGTGATTTATTTAAGCCACCAACCTGACCATGTCCCTCATAACAAGAACCTGAGCTCCTTGCCACCTACAGAATCAAGGTGTGGCTCTGTCACGCAAAGCTCTGCATGACCCAGCTCTGGCCATTGCTCCAAGCCTGTCCACATCCCTCTTGGTCTCACACTTGTGACTTCAGCAACACTGATCCTTGAGTTCCCAGCACTTGCCATGCTCTTCCTGCCTTTGCTCATGCTGATCCTGCTCTGTAGTCAAGGCCTTCCTTCACCATCTGAGTCGATCTACCCTTTAAACTGGCTTGAGGTTTCGCCTCCAGAAAAGCTTCCCTGACCCTTCCCCTCTGGACTGGTTGGATGTCCCTCTTTTGAGATTCCAATTTTTTTTTTTTTTTTTTGCAGTACTTGGGATTGAACCAGGGGCCCTCTACCACTGAGCTGCATCACCAGTTCTTTACATTTATGTATTTATTATTATTATTGGTACTGGAGGTTGAACCCAGGGATGCTTAACTATGGAGCCACATCGCCAGCCCCTTTTTTGTATTTTATTTAGAGACAGGGTCTTGCTAAGTTGCTTAGCATCTCACTAAGTTGCTAAAGCTGGTTTTGAACTTGAAATCCCCCTGCCTCAGCCTCCCTAGCTGCTGGTATTACAGGCATGCGCCACTGCATCCAGCTATTGTCTTTTTTAAAAAATTTTTTTAATATTTTTTTTTTAGTTTTCGGCGGACACAACATCTTTGTTTGTATGTGGTGCTGAGGATCGAACCCGGGCCGCACGCATGCCAGGCGAGCGCGCTACCGCTTGAGCCACATCCCCAGCCCTTTTTTTTTTTTTTGGTAAATAATGTTTTTAGGACACTATTTATTTATTTTTATGTGGTTCTGAAGATTAAATCTGGTTCTTCACATGTGCCGAGGCAGGCACTCACTGAGCTACAGCCCTAACCCCGGCTTTTTTTTTTTTTTTTTCTTTCTTTTTATTACTTTGAGACAGCCTCTTGCTAAGTTGCCCAGGCGGAACTGAGCTTGTTTGGGATCCTCCTGCTTCAGCTTCCTCAGTGGCTGGGATACCGGGTGTGCCCCACCATGCCAGGCCCAAAATACATTCTTGTTTCTCTCTCTCTCTCTTTTTTAATGTTTATTTTTTAGTTGTGCTTGGACACAATACCCTTATTTCACTTATTTTTATGTGGTGCTGAGGATTGAACCCAGGGTCTCGCAGTGCGAGGCGAGTGCTCTACCACTGAGCCCCAGCCGAGCCCCACATTCTTGTTTCTCTGTTCCTGCTCTTAACCATATTGTACAGATCTCAGGCAGGGGCTGCATTTTTTCATTTCCTTCTCCAGCTTTGGTTGTCAGTATGCACTACTTAGGGTGGACATCAGGGCTGGCTCCTTGCTAGGGACCGGATGAGTGCTGTGTGTGATTGCATTCTCACGTGTGTGTGTGTGTGTGTGTGTGTGTGTGTGTGTGTGTATTATCCATATTTTAAATAAAAGGAAGTTGAGGCCCAGAGAGATTGAGCATGCTAGGGATAGGATTGAAACTCAGGCAGCCCAACCCCGGAGTCTGACCTCTTAACCCTGAATGTCCATGGGATGGAGGAGTAAACCAGTGAGTGAGACAGTAGGTGTGAAGGAAACAATCCTGGAAGGCTGCCTGGAGGAGTTAGCTCTCAGACTGAAGATGACAGCCGTGACTTGGTTGTAATGAGTAAGGGGAGGGTCTCTTTTAAGGCCTGGGTGCCAAGAGGGATGAATTGTGTAGGGAGAACATTATGTCCAGTGACCTGTCTAGAGCTTTAGGACTCCACACAGGAGAGTTAGGACAACGTCATTGGATGGTGATAAATCGTCGGAACTGGGAACCCAAAGATTGGCTTTTTTTTTCCCCCCAGGGATTGAACTCAGGGGCATTAACCACTGAACCATCTCCCCAGCCCCTTTATTATATTTTATTTAGAGACAGGGTCTTGCTGAGTTCCTAAGGCCTCGATAAGTTGCTGAGGCTGGCTTTGAACTCATGATCCTCTTGTGTCAGCCTCCCAAGCTGCTGAGATTATAGGCATGGGCTACCGCTTCCGGCTTGCTGTGTGATCTTGATGCAGTGATTTGACTCTCTGGGCCTTTGTTCTGTCTCTAAAAGGAGCAAGTTGGATTAGAAGCTCTCCAAGGTTCCAGACGGCTCAGATATTTTGCATGTCCACAAGATGGAAAGCAAATGAGGGACCTGGAAGGGCGTTTTGAAGCCCTCCTGTGGGGCTGTGGGGCTGAGAGATGAGACGTGACTCCCTCCTGGCTAGCTGTGCCACGGCCTGTGTTCTCAGAAAGCTGAGCTGGGGCGCACAGCACATTTTCTCTCTAATTAGAGAGTGTGAAGTTATCCATTTTGAATGAGATAAGTTTCCATGCATGATGTCCCCAACTGCTCCCTGAAGTGCT